GAGGTTGGTTGATCTTGGCTTTCGGGAAGGGCACAAGATCCCGCCCCCAGGAAGCCTTAGCTCTGCGTCAGAAAACCGTTTTGAGGCTGAATCAGGCTAATTGCAGGTTCTCTCCGTCCGTGGACTGGGTGGGATCTCGCTAAGGTCGCGCCCCCCCTCCCACTCCGGGACTGTCCCGGTGTCTCCAGGGATAACGAACCTTTAATGAACTATTGTGTCATGTGATGAAACCTCCAGGAATACGTCTCGGCCAAACTGGCAAGCCTAGATCTCGCTTTCTTTCCATCCCAGGTCTCCCTTCACTACAGCCGCTTATTCGTACCCTGCCCTCCTCCCCGGCCAGTGCGAAGGGACAACTGGGGTCATGCCCCCCACCCCGCATCTTTCATTTCCTCCCTCTCTTGCTCTCTTGTTGGTCCCTCGCCTTCTCGCCTACCTGGGACAGAGAGGCTGGTCTGTGACCATCCCTATTTCCCACCTGGCTTTCCAGCAGCTCCCTCCCCCCTGAGGCTCAGGCCCCAGGGACCCCCCCAGCGATGGTGCTTTTCCGGATCGCAAGCATCATCCTGGCTCTGCTCAGTCTGGTGCTGCTGGTGGTGGCCCTGGTCTCAGACAACTGGGTGACGGTTACTGACGCAGAGGGGAGGCATTTGGGGCTGTGGAAGATCTGTGTGCAGCAGATTTGCATCTTGCATCCAACCAGAGTACCAGGTAAGGAAGCTGTGGGTCCTGTCCCCAGCTCTGGGAGGGGAGTGGGGTCTAATGGTTAGAGCGGGGTGGAGGCTGGGAACCAGGACTCCTGCGTTTTCTCCCCAGCTGTGGGAGGAGAGTGGGGTCTAGTGGGTTAGAGCAGTGTGGGGTGGTAACCAGGACTCCTGCGTTCTTTTCCCAGCTTGCGGGGTGGGGGGGAGACAGGGGAGTGGGGTCTAATGGGTTAGCGCAGAGGGGAGTGGTAACCAGGACTCCTGGGTTCTTTCCCCACCTTGGGGGTTGGAGGGGAGACAGGGGAGTGGGGTCTAGTGTGTTAGAGTAGTGGGGGGTGGTAACCAGGACTCCTGGGTTCTTTCCCCAGCTTGGGGGGTGGCAGGAGAAGGGGAGTGGGGTCTAGTGGATTAGAGCAGAGGGGGCTTGGAGTCAGGTTCTCTCCCCAGCTCTGGGAGGGGGCAGGGGAGTGGGGTCTAGTGGGTTAGAGCAGTGGGGAGTGGTAACCAGGACTCCTGGGTTCTTTCCCCACCTGGGGGGGGGGGGGCGGGTAGCGGGAGACAGAGGAGTGGGGTCTAGTGGGTTAGAGCAGAGGGGGCTTGGAGTCAGGTTCTCTCCCCAGCTCTGGGAGGGGGCAGGGGAGTGGGGTCTAGTGGGTTAGAGAGCTGGGAGTCAGGACTCCTGGGTTCTGTACAGTTACTGATTTAACCCCTTCCCCGTCCCACAGGTTTCTTCCACACCATCAGGTTTTTCATGATCCTGGCCATGTTTGCTGGGTTTCTCTCCTTCTTCGCTCTCATCGCCTCCTTCTTTTGCTCCCACTTTCGCTCTGTGTCCCTGATCCTGGTCTCCACCGTGGGCAGCTTCAGCGCAGGTAACGCCCCCACAGGGCCCCCTCCTCGCTGGCCATTCCCTGCCCCCGGGTCCCACAGCTCTAGGGATACTGTGGATTGCTCCCAGCCAGCCCTGGGGAGAGGACCCTCTCCCCTGGGATCCTGCCCTGGGCTCTGACAGCTTCCCCGGTGGTGGGATGGGGCAGGGACCCTGGGACTGTGCGTGGGCCACACTGAGGGGTGTCCATGCTGTTCCCTTTGGCGCTAGGTGTCTGTGCCATGATCGCGCTGGCCGTGTTCACCAATGCTGATTGCCAGATTTTCATGTCAGGAATGCTCTCCTACAGTTGGTCCTACGGCCTGGGTTGGCTGTCCTTCTTCCTGTATCTTGGAACTGGTGAGCGCACCTAGGGCTCTGTGGGCTGAGATGCAACCACCTCTGGGGTGGGGCAGCTGGGGAACAGCCGCACATAACATCAGATGGGGATGGCTTGCCCACCACTGAGATGATGAAGCCACTTCTGGGGCGGAGCAGCTGGGGACCAGCGGATGGTGCTTCCATTGGTTCGATCACGGTCCTGAGCCCATTTCTCTCCTCTGCCCCCTCCATCCCCAGGTGCGGTAACACTGCTCACCCCAGGATCCTCCTACAGCCGAGTGTGAGGCCCACGCTGCCCCCTAGGGATGGAGCTGGGAGCTGGGAGGGCTGGACGGAGCCTGCAGCGTCGTGGGGGTGTGAACTTGTGTGTGTGTGTCCATCTGTCCGACTGCCCTCTGCTGGAGGGGATGAGCCTTGCTGTGTGTATATGTCACTCTGGGCTCTCACAACCCCCCATCGCAGCGATTGCCCCCCACACAAACCCCCCCTGCCCTCCTCTCTTCTCCCTGGGGCCCCCGGCTGAACCCCACTTCTTCCATGGAGATTAAAGGGCCTGTCCTCCAAGCCTTCCATCTGGTGATTTCTGGCCCCTCAACAACACCCCTCATTCCCCCCACTCCCCTGGGGTGAGTGTCAAAGACAGGCAGGACTCCTGGGTTCTCTCCCCAGCTCAGGGAGGGGAGTGGGGTCTAGTGGGTCAGAGCAGGGAAGGGGGGTCAGGGCTCCTGGGTTCTCTCCCCAGCTCAGGGAGGGGAGTGGGGTCTAGTGGGTCAGAGCAGGGAAGGGGGGTCAGGGCTCCTGGGTTCTCTCCCCAGCTCAGGGCAGGGAGTGGGGTCTAGTGGGTCAGAGAAGGGAAGGGGGATCAGGGCTCCTGGATTCTCTCCCCAGCTCAGGGCGGGGAGTGGGGTCTAGTGGGTCAGAGCAGGGAAGGGGGGTCAGGACTCCTGGGTTCTATTCCTAGTGCTGGGAGGAGCGGGGAGACGACCAATTAGAGCAGAGGAGTCGGTTCTGATCACATCAGCTGTGGGAGCTCAGGCTCGGTTTCTGGGGTGTCGGGCTGCAGTGCTATAAAACGCTCCCTGCCCAAAGTTGCTGCGTCACTGACCCTCACCAGGCTCCAGCGGGCTGAGGCCGCTCAGCCGCTGACATCTGCAATGTCAGAGACGGAAGGGGTGGGCAGGGGGGTGACTCAAACGGGGCAGGCCAGGGAAAGAGATGGGCGGGTAGCCAGGGTAAATCAGGGACTGAGTAGACAGAGGGTTTTTTCCTTCCTTAGATGCTAGTTTTTGAAATGATGTGGAAAATATCACCCCAAATTCTTGCTTTTACATTTTGATCCATCTCTGAAATCATCCACATTTAGCCTTTCTAAAATTTCAGTCGTTTCCAAATTCACAGCAGAGATTTCACAGGGGTGGAAAAAGGCGACAGGCTGACAAAAAAATTAATATTTGGAGATCAGTAACTGCTAGCAATTGGTGAATGTGAACGGGAGCAGAGATTCCACTTGGAAACCCCGGCCGTGGAAAGCAGCTTAGAGCTAATCAGGGAAGGATTAGATTTTTACTGGTAAATGTCGGTAAAGTTTTATCTACTCCTTTCACACCCTCTGTAAGCTGCTTTCAACAACAGGGTTTTAAGGCCAGTTTCACTGTTCACACTCAAACAGACGAGAAAGTATTTCCTCATTGGTGACAATCAAAGTTTACAGCCAGGCAAAGGAAGAAAAATGCTGACGACGAATTTCTTTGAGTCAAAATCCGGCGATCCGGACTTTTGGACGAGGCCTGTTAGAAATGGAACAGGTGGGTCTGATTTGTTGCTTGACGGTTGTGTCCTTTGTGTATTTTGCCATGTGATGTTGACAATGGGTGTTGTAAAGAGTTATAAAGCTGTAGCTTCTTGAGCCCCAAGATCGACTGCCTTCAACTAAAACTACCGACTAACCACCCCGCAAGGTCACGTGCCTGCATGCTTACAGAGAGAAAGACATTGTAAAAAACTCTTAAAGAGAATCACTGTAAAATTTTCTGATGAAATTTAAAAAAAAGTAAACAAGGAGTTCTGCCAAACACCCTTATATCTAGGCTTGGCCGAGAGACATTTTTATCGGTAAATGTCGATTTCAAGGGGTGGAAAAATATCTCCCTTGATACGAACCGACATTTACAGAGGAAGAAGAACGCCGCTTGAGAACGTCTCGGTGTTTGATTTCAGGATATTGACTTTGCATACGTGCACCGGCGACATTTGTGTTTAAGGGTTAGAAAGCATCAGCTTTCAGTATCTCAACCCCGCTGCTGCCATGAAGTCATTCTTGGCCGACCCCGCTGTTCTCAGCTCCTCCCAAGGAAATCGATAAAAATCAGGAAAAAAGGGTGAAAATTTCCAAGGATAAGAATTGAAAAAAAAAATGCTGGAAAATGAACATTGATCTTGTCTGTTGAAATGATCAAGAAACAAATACTGAATTCTGCAGACCCTGGCTGTGATTCTATCTCTGCTCATATGGGAGGACATAGGCGCAGGGCCGGAGAAGGACCGGGTGGAGGGCACTGCAGTTAGAGGTGTGAACATATATTCCACCCCACTGCCATGCCCAGGGCGTGATCGCCCCTTACTGTCTGATCGTAGGTCTGGACTGAGATATCCTGTGCAATTAGTGACCTTTCTTTACCCCCATGGCACAGCGCCCCCTAGTGCCGCCCTAAGGCATTAGGGCCAGCCCTAACTGCCTGAGGAGAGCCCCCACCCCCTGCAGCACAGTGCCCCCAGTACCAGACTGAGACATTGGGGCCAGCCCTGAATGCCAGGGGAGAGCCCCCCACCCTGCTCCCTGCTTGTCTCCCATCCATGCCCAGATCGTGCCCGCCCCTGCTTAGCCAGAGACAGGAAAGTGAAAGGACTCAGATGTTGCTCAGCAACCCCCTGCATCTGCAGCGAAAGGGGGAAGTTTGGAGCTGCCCTTTGAGGTTCTCTGGGGCCCAACCCCCTCCCCCCCCAGTTTCCCCCCAAGGGGACCCACAGAAATCTCACCCCCGCCCTGCCCGGTGCCACTTCCCCTTTCGCCTTCCAAAGCCACCAGACTGATCGCTCAGCTCCCCCACCGCCAGATCGGCTGCCGGAGCAGGGGCTGCAGGACGCGTGATAAGGTAATTGCACCTTCTCCTGCTGATCGGAGTGAGGGCTAGTGGTTAGAGCAGGGGCTGGGAGCCAGGACTCCTGGGTTCTAGCCACACTTTGGGAGGGAACTGGGGTCTAGTGGTTACAGTGGGGGGCTGGGAGCTGGAGCTGGTGCAGGCTGGCTTTCCAGTGCTAAGGGGGAAGAAGGGGGCCTGTTTAATGCTTGGAGGGGAGACCTACAGGGTGCTTCAAGGGGCAGGGTGGGGGTGCTAGGGGGCGCTGTGCTGAAGTGAGCAGGGTGAGACACATTCTCCCTGGGCAGTGAAGGCTGACCCCCACGCCCCAGTATGGCTCTTGGGGGGTGGGGTGGGGACGCTAGGGGGCGCTGTGCAGCAGGGGGCGGGGCAGGGGCGGTCAGTGCCGATTCTCACACCCTGAGGCTGCTCTCCCAGGTCCTCCCCCTCACTTTGGTTTGCTCAAAGCCCAGAGGAAGTGGCAGCGTCTCTGAGACAAAAATACCCCGGCCGGCCGATTCCCAGCCAGCGACCCTTGACATGGGGAAACAGCTGCTCTGGCGCCCTGCGGTGCTGGGACGTGGGGGAGGGGTGTTCTCAGGGCTCTTCGTCCCCCGTCCCCCAAGTGGGGGATCAAACGTGAGGTGCAGCCGGGGCTTTTCACTCTGGACTGCGCCATGCCCAGCCTGTGGCGATGCACACAGCCTGACAGCTGCTGCACAGCTGGAGAAACTGAGGCACGGGGGGGGGTGAATTGGAGAACTTACACACAAGTGGGCTCAGAGTTCTGGGCGCTTCTGCTGCTCTAACCACTAGACTCCGCTTCCCACCCAGAGCCAGGGATAGAACCCAGGAGTTCTGGCTTCCAGCCCCCGCCCCCTAACCGATTAGAGGCATCTGGTCTGAGCTCCCAGGGGGTGTGGGCGAGGATGTACCAAGACCTGCAATAACAGAACCCTGCCCAGAGGGGTGTGTAGCGGTTCCCCTGCGTTTAGCAGCCTCGCCTATGTAAATGTGACGCCCTTTGCACCGTGCCATGCGCGACAAACCCATCCGGCCGCTATTTCTTCTGCCTTTGGCAGGGGCGTTAGAACAGGGGGACTGAGAGCCAGGACGCCTGGGTTCTCTCTCCAGCCCTGGAAGAGGAGAGGGGTCTAGTGGTTCGAGCGGGTGGTGGTGAGGGCTGGCAGCCAGGATGCCTGGGTTCTATCCCCAGCTCTGGGAGCGGAGTGGGGTCTAGTGGTTAGAGCAGGTAGCGGGTTCCCTGCAGTCTCCCCTCTAGCTGGTCTCTCTCCACTCCGGGTGGTTGATGTTGCTCTGGGTCATCGCAGGCACCGACCAGCCCTTCGCTCTTTCCTCTGCTCCTCAGCGCCGCGGCTGCCCAGGGGTCACCATGAGACGCCTCGTCTGGCTGCTGTTCCTCCCGGGTAAGGCCCCTTCGCCTCGCCCTGAAGGTCCTGGTGCTTCAGATCCACAGAGCCCTGGGGGCAGGGGAGAAGGGAGGGGAGACCTGGCTGGGGGGGTCACAAGCTCAGAGGGAGGTTTTCCTCTGTGAGATTTACTCCCTTTGCATCAGACTGATGTGACCTAGTGATTGGCGGTGGGCGGTGGGCTGGGAAACAGGACTCCTGGGTTCTATCCCTGGCTCTGGGAGGGGAGTGGGGTCTAGTGGTTTGGAGCAGGGGGGCTGGGAATCAGGACTCGTGGGTTCTTCCCAGCGTGCCAATGGGGAAACTGAGGCACAGAGCCACACCATGAACTGAACAGTTAGCGCTGGGAATCAGACCCTGATCTGAACCCCAGTTTGGCACTGGAAGTGCCCGGCCAGCTTGCCCCTCGCTGCCATTTCTGTCACTATGCTGTTTCCAGGCTTCCTGTGTCAATGTGACCAGCAACCTGTCGAGGTTCCCGCATCCCTGATCGCTTGGACGGGGGCCTGTCTGTCCATCCCGTGCCACTATAAATCCTGCCTCCTGAATCCCAGAAGGCCAAACAACCCAACCATCAACGCCCTGACCTGGTACCTCAACCCTGTGTTTCACTCTGAGAAGAAAGATTTCAATGGCACCATCCTCTATAAACACAATGCCATCAGCCAGGCCTTCGCAGGGCGTGTGAAGTTCCTGGGGAACCTGGAGAGAGATTGCAGCCTGCAGCTGTCTGACCTGCGGGCCAGCGAGAACGGCACATATGGGCTGAGACTGATCATCTTGAACCCCAGGAAGAAGCAAGAGGAGCAGAAGTGGATGGCTAAGATAGTTGTTAACGTGATGGGTAAGAGGGAAAGTCCTGGGCTTCCTTGTAGGAACAGACTGAAGACTCATAGCCCCACCCCCAACTGCTAGACCCCACTCCCCTCCCAGAGCTGGGGACAGAACCCAGGAGTCCTGGCTCCCGGCCCCCCCCAGACACTAGACCCCGCTCTGGTAGCAGCTGTTACTGGGGGCATCCAGGCCGGTTGTTCCTATTTTCTCCACCTCTGTCCCACCCATTTAATGAGGTAAAGACTCTCGCTAAAATCTGGGGCTACACCCAGCCTCGAGCTCCCCATCTGCATGAGAACAGCACCGACCTCTGCCAGTCAAGCTAAAGGAGATGGGTCCGTACCTAGCGGAAGCAGTAGGTTGTTATCCTCCGTGCTGCTCAGCAGAGCCTCTAGCAAAACGGAACAATGGTTTGGGTGGAAAACTTCAAAGTTGTTTCCATTTTACGGTGTTTTTCCACATTTCTCCTGAAATATTTTACCCACAAATTTTGAATTTCATTTTTCCACTTGCTTTTTATTCCCTTTTCACCCCAAGTGCAGCGCAAGGAGGGATGTCGGGGGTTGGGTTTTGTTATTTCATGTTTTCCCTTTTCCCCCGGATGCCCCAGGGGACGTCGTTCCAGCTCTCTGTGCCTCAGTTTCCCCACCTGAAAATCAGGGAGAAAAATCCTTTGCCTATTTCCACTGTGGTCTCTTTGGGGCAGGGCCTGTCTCTCGCTGTGTCTGGGCAGCATCCGGCAAACAGGGCCCCGATCTCACCTGGGGCAGGGCTTGTCTCTCGCTGTGTCTGGGCAGCGCCTGGCCCGACAGGGCCCCGATCTCACTTGGGGCAGGGACTCTACCGTAATGCACCTAATGCAGTAGGAAGAGAGCCTGAGACGTGAGCCCGTGTATCAGAGGCCTGGTATGGGGCAGGCCCTGCTCACAGAATGTGGCAAGAACAGGGCTGATCTTGCAGAAGTGCTGGGCACAGAGCACTCACGCAACCACAGCCCGATATTAAGTGGTACCAAGGAAGGTACAAAAACCTTCCCCCAGGATACTGGGAACACCACGACCCCTCCTAGCAGATAAGCTCAGGCTGACAGTATGGAACTTGTTTAGAGTAGGGTATAAAGATGTGTCCAAGGCTTTGTCTACACTAAGCACCTTTCAGTGACACAGCTGTGGCGTTACAGCCCTGCCACTCAAAGGCGAGCAGGGAGAGAGCTCTGCCGCCGACAAAAAAATTCCACCCCAACGAGCGGCAGCAGCTTTGTCGGCGGGATGCCACTCCTGCCCACAAAGCACTGTTCAAGCCACCACTTTTCGTCAGTAAAACTTTGGTCGTTCGGGGCGTGTGAGTTTTTTAACACCCCTGAATGACAAAAATTTTGCCGACAAAGTTCCAGTGTAGGCACAGCCTCAGAGGGAGAATCTTTGGCCAGCTAAGGGGGCAGTGGAAAGTCCCACCGTGGACTGAGCTGCGTCCATTGTCATGGGCATCCATGTCTTAGTATCCTCGGAGAGTCTTCCAGGTGGTACTACCTTGCTTCGTGAACAATAAACCTGGCCTGGTGCCTTCGTCCCTTAACGGATCTTGTGGTCATTGGGCAGTTCGCTCGAGGTCTGCCGTGCCGGCTGTCTGCGCAGAGCTGGGGCAGCACACAGAGAGAACACACACGCAACCGAACATCTAATACCACCTAATAATAAAGTGCTCTCCTTAATAACTTTCCCCTTTGTCCCTCTGACACAGATTCACCTCCAGCTCCTCAAATCCAACCACCCAGTGAGCTCAGGGAGTCAACCCTGGCCCATGTGGTTTGCTCCATAGACTATCACTGCCCCGACTACCCCATAAGCCTGAAGTGGATCGGTTTGGGGCATGGGACCCCTGAGTCCACCATGAGGATGGACAGCGGAAGGACCGAGAACACACTGACTTTCACACCCACCTGGCAGGACCATGGGACAAATTTAACCTGCCGGCTCAGCACCCCAGCTGGGACACCGAGCTCTGAGAGCAGCGTGGTGCTGAACGTGAAATGTGAGTGGGGGGATTTGAACTGGGCGCCCCGGGTCTGACAGCACCAGCCCCACCAGCAGCTCTGGCTCTGACCCATAAAGCACTGTACGGGTTGTTGTTCCTGGGGGGCACCAGGGAGGTGGACTGGGGTCCAGGTGGGTGGAAGCAGATTGGTCAATGGGGCGGAAGCTGGCAGTATTTTCAAGGAAGAGTGGGGCCGTCCCACTGAGCAGGGATGGGCACGAGGGTCAGAGCCAGCGCCCCCTAGAGGGGAAAGGCCCAATGCCCCATTCCCCATCCCCCTGAGCCAGCCAGTCCCCTGCCCTGGATGGGAGCTGGCGCCCCCTAGAGGGGAAAGGCCAAGTGCCCCATTCCCTGCCCCACATCTGGACAGTGTCCATATCTCAGCTGTTCACCCACGTGTTTGTTTGCTCCAGATGCCCCTAAGGGAGTCCAGTTGAACGTGACACCCGGACAGACCATCCGAGAGGGGGACAGACTCGTGCTGATGTGCATGACCAATGGCAGTAACCCCCCCATCTTCACGTACAACTGGCATAAGGACACACAGTGCCTGCACCAGGGGCAGGAGCAGAAGTGGGAGTTTGAAGCCAAGGGGGACGAGCATTCCGGCTCCTATCTCTGTGAAGCCGTCAATGAAATAAGCCCGGTCCGATCCCCAGAGCTGAGGATAGACGTCCAGTGTGAGTATGGGGGCTGGGGCCAGACGGGAAGGCAGGGTCTGTGGAACTGCCCGAGACTAGATACCTCTGCTGAGCACAAGGGGAGAGACTAAGAGAGGGTGTTATTGTGCTTCCCTAGACACTTGTGATGTGGTCATCAGAAAGGGTGAAATAGGCAGGGCCTGTGGCATCGGGAAAGACAAGAACTAAAGTTAAAGGGGAATCTCCATTAGTTCTTAGCAGTACATGGCCTCTGACACACAGCATGGCAGTTCTGGTTCCAGCCAGCAGAGGGTAATGTGCCTAGTCTCACACACACAGAGGCGGATCTGACCTGTTCCTTCCAGCAGGGGAAGTGCTTACACGCGCAGAGCAGGAGTCAGCCTCTCCCGCAGGGAGACGTGTGCGCGTGCACACACATACACACACACTTGGGAGAAAAACACAAACAAATTGCAAACGTTAGAACAATTTATTTTATTGCACTCAGGGGAAAAAAGGAGAAAAACAGAAAATTTCTCATTTCAAAAATGTGACATTTTCCGCACCCCCAAATCGGGCCATTTTGAAGCAGAAGCGACTTGGCTGTTTCAAACATTTGAAAGTTTTTTCATCCCGTCGCCTCTCGGGAGAGCCAGAGAGCGTCTTGCGCCTGAATGAACCCAGCGGGACACGCTTGGTCCATGGCATATGCAGAAAACAACGTGTGATGCAAGAGGAACATTTGCTTCTGGGGTGAAATGTCCTGGATTTTGCTAAAAAACCCACGGACCAAAACGCACTTTCCCTCCTCCCACCCCTACAACTTGTGGAGGTTTTTCCACAGGCAGATAATTTGCTTCACTGGACAATTGGTTTGGTTTTGTGGGGTGGAGGTGGGGGCGTGGCCCGTTGAAAATCCAAACATATTTTTAGGTTTTGGTTTTTGATAAAAATCCCCCAAATATATCCAGGCTTTAGAACTTTTCCTGAGACCGTGGGACGGGGTTCACCCCATCACAGACCAGAAAATTATTTTTTTCACAGGAAATGTCTGGGAATTTTTCATTGAAAACACAAACATTTCAGATGGAACCCTCCAAAACTTCCCGAGAGAAATAATGGCTATTTCCCCAAATCAGGGAGGGCTCTGCAGTGACCCTGCCTCTGTTTCCTCACCGTACCTCTAGAGAGAGGATTGGCCTGTGCGTCAGGTATTCACTGGGGAACTAGTTCAGTTCATTCTCTGCCACTGGACTCCCAGAGTGACCTTGGTCAAGTCACTTAGGGTTTCCCACGGAATAGTCCATTTAAATCAGGGCCTTTTTATTCCCCAGATGCCCCAAAGGATGCTCGTGTTGAACTGCTTGTGGGATCTCCGATCCAGGAAGGGACCATGGTTGTGCTCAGCTGCTCCTGTAGGGCTCATCCATTCGTCAGCAGCTACACATGGTACAGAAATGGCCAGTACATCCCAGCACAAACCCAGCAGGAGCTGCGCTTCGACAAGATCCATGCTGACCAGTCCGGTTCCTACCACTGCAAGCCTCAGAACAGAGTCGGGATGTCGGACTCGCCAGCCATTACAGTCGACGTACAGTGTGAGTAGTCAGGGGACCAGCAGGGGGCGCTGCAACTACGTGGGGTATCCAGGATCTGCACTCCAGCTTGGTATGGCAGAGCCTGCATGAATCCCGGAGGGGCAGGAGCCGTAGCCTCCCCCTAGGACCTCCTTCCTCCCTCTGAGGAGGCATTGCTGTGAGAGCTGGGATCCCGGTATGTACCTCAGCATTCAGGGTATCTGTGCCCGGGTGGGGTGCTCTCCTCCTCCTGCTTCACAGAGCCCCCGATTGGGCACAGGGCCTCAGCGCAGCAGGGCTGAGAGTTAACACCCCTTTGGGATGGTTCCCCCCGTCTCAGAGCGATGGGCTCAGGCTCTCTGCAGACTCAGGCAGTGTCAGTCACACTCAGGGCAGCTCCCTCGTCTCCAAGCCACAGGCTCAGACTCTCTGCAGACCCAAGCAGTGTTGCTCTGCCAGTCGCACTTCGGGCAGCTCCCTCTGTGATGCGTTCCCCCTGGGGTGCCACTTGGAACTGGGTTACCACCGGCCTGGGGTCCCTTTATACTGTGGTGCTGTGATAAGTTGCCAAGCTCTCCAAGCTTGCTCTTTCACCAGCCTACACACAGATAGGGACACACTGAGCTGCAGCTTCACACACAGATGCTGAGATCAGCTTTGCATGGGAAGGCTCAGTTAAGGCACCCCTCAGTTGCTAAGGCACGCACCCCCCTCTGGAGTGTAAACCCAAAATTATGCCGTCTTGCGCTGCACAGGGAACTGTACAGCATAAGCTCATAAAAGTCACCCCCTCCCTCAATGTGGAGAGAGATATGCAACAGCTTTCTGCCCCCAGTTATAATTTCCACACACTGGTTTTAGACAAAACCAAAACAAGTTTGTTAACTACAAAAGATAGATTTTAAGTGATTATAAGTGATAGCAAACAGATCAAAGCAGATTACCTAGTAAATAAACAAAACCGCAAACTGAGCTTAATACACTAGATAAGTAGGATATGAATGAGCAAATTCTCACCCTGAGTGATAAGCAGGCTGGCAGATTCTTAAGGTACAAGCTGCCTTTGCTTTCCCAAGTTTTCATACACTGGCTAAAAATCCCTTTAGCCTGGGACCATCACTTCCCACAGTTCAGTCCTTGCCCCTCAGGTGTTTCCAGGTGTGTTGTTGTAGGGAGAGTGAGGTACCATCATTTCCCCACTTTTATATCTTCTTCCAACTTGCTGGAAAGCTCTTTTGCTGTGACCTGGGTGAAACAGTTCCCATTGTGTAGCACTATCTCTCAGAGGTTTCTATTGCACACAGTTCCTGGGGTAATCCTTGTGCTTGTGTGCATCTCCTCAGCAAACCGTTAACATTGTTTGGCCTTTTTACTGTTGTACCTGAAAGGCTGCTTGTGGGTGTGTTCAACCTCAGAACATGTTTCAGTAACACACACAGAGCCAAACTTTGTAACTTCACCTACGACGGTAGCACACGCAATCCAACGAGATATTAATGTCGAGCAGATCAAGACTTTTAGCATGATACCTCACAAGGAATACTTTGTACAAAACATATCCTAATTACATGACAGTAGTGACTATTGGGATGCCAGGTTGCCACACTCTCCTCTCCCAGCAAGGAGCTCAGCTCTCTGCAGACTCAGGCAGGTGTCAGCTACACTCGGGCAGCTCCCTCCTTTTTATTTCCTGCCTATAACCCTCCCTCCTGAACACTGAGACACACCCTGATCTCGATTCTTTTCCAGACGCCCCCAAGGAGGTACGAATCACTGTTGAAAACCCCCTGTACGTCCGGGAAGGCAACACAGTGACGCTGAACTGCTCCGTGGGCAGCAGTAACCCCCCAGTGACCAAGTATACCTGGTACAAGGATAACAGCCAGTATCAGGACACTGAAGAGAGCATCCTGACCTTCCCTGCTACAAAAGAGCGGTCTGGTAGCTACAGCTGTGCAGCTCAGAACGCGATCAGCTATGGACGGTCTCTGCCTGTCTCCGTGGATGTGCAGTGTAAGTAATCGCTTCCTGGCTTCCCAGTCACTTTCCTCTTGGAATTTTCCACTGCAAAATTTTAATGAAAAAAAATCATTTTGTTTCTCTGGCTCGATATTTTTATTCCATTGGTGCTTTTCGAAGAGCAAAAAAATTCAGTTTTCTCCCCTTAGAAAAAACGGTCTTTGTCTCTCATTATTTAGCCTTTAACATTTTGTTCATGCTTTTCTAATGAGAAAAGTGACAACCCCCCCCCCGCCCACTTCTAGTTTCTAACCGAGGAGTAGGGGTGAAAAGCAATACAAATTGTGCTTTGGTTGTATTGTGTAGCCTTTTCTCATTATTATTATTAAAAAGTCTTTTTCACATTTTCCAATGGGAAAGTGATTTTTTAAAAACATTTCTGCTTGATTCTCCATTGGAAAAGTGAGAAAAAATGTTTGACAAGCGGTGTGTTTCTCTCACCACCCAGCCTTTACAAAAGCAGAAAAACAGGTTTTCATGCTTTTTCATGGCTTTTCCCATTTTACTGTCACTGAAAAGTGCTCAAAGAAGTTTTTAAAAGTGTTATTTATGTTCATGATTTAGCCTTTTATTTAAAAAAAATATCTTTTTCATGGCTTAACTCACTTTATTTTTCACTGGAACAATATCAGTTTTTAAAAGTGTAATTTTGTCTCACTATATAGTGGGTTTTATTAAAAAAACAAACCCTTTTCATACTTTCCAGTGGAGAAAAGTGATTTTTTGGACTTTGTTCCACTGAAAAAATGAAAAAAACATTTTTAATGTTTAGAAATGACCAGAAAGTGTTTCCTCCATAATTTCTCCCTCTCTTTTACCCCTTCTCAGCTTTGTCAAAATGTTACATTGAGAATATCTTTTTCCAATCAATTTTTTGTTGTCAGAAATGACTGTTGTTCCCTGTGAGACCAATCTTTTGGGGGGTGAACCCCCAGTTTTCTGGCGAAAATAGATCTGCTGAAAAAAACCTCAGGCCGGTCTGGTTGTCATCTCAGGGGCTTTGGGGGGACCCCTGAATCTAAGTTGGGCTAGACACGCCTGGGTCACGGAGGGGAGACCGCTGCGGGAAGCAGAGTGCCAGAAGGAGCCCAGCTGGATTGGACTCTCATCCCGTCGGCCTTAGGGTCGCACAGTGCGTGGATATGAGACCTTCCTGGGTGATGGAGACAGAGAACTGAAGGAGCAGAGCTCTGGAATTTTGTCCCACCTGTAAAGATAAGCAGGGAGAGGCTGGTCAAGAAGCCGTGTGATCTCTGGGTCACTAGGCTCCTGTTCTACCTCTGAAGCTCAGCAGGATCAGATGGGGCCAGTGGCTGGAAGGGAACCCAGGAGGGAAAAAACCTGCCTTCTATTGAAATAGAGTAACCAGAGGAGCGGTATGGGAGGCTGTAATGGTCTGGCCTTTAAAATCTAGGTAGTGTCAGACCCCAGCCGTGGTCAATGGGCCAGATCCCAGCCGGGATCAATGGGCTGTTGCTCAATTGGGGTCAATGGGCCGGATCCCAGCCGGGGTCAATGGGCTGTTGCTCCATTGGGGTCAATGGGCCAGATCCCAGCTGGGGTCAATGGGCCGGCTGCCTGGGGCTCTCAGGGTGCTGCGTGTCCCTCTGTAGATGCCCCCAAGCATGTTTCCGTGGTGCGGCAGCCATTGGGGATCATTGAGGAGGGCAAGGACGTGACCCTGGAGTGCTACGTGGGCAGCGCCAACCCCTCCGACCTGCACTACACCTGGTACAAGGACAAGAAGCGGCAGGGCGAGAAGTCTACCAGGCTGAAGCTGGTGGCCGTGGTGTCGGCTGATTCGGGCCAGTACCACTGTGAGGCTCGGAATGACTTGGGCACCACCCCTGCCGAGCCCATCCCGCTGGATGTCTGGTGTAAGTAACGAACCCCCAGAACTGGGGAGAGAATCCAGGAATCCTGGCTCTGAGACCGCCCCCTGCTCTAACTACTAGACCCCACTCCCCTCCTAGAGCTGGGGCGAGAACCCAGGAGTCCTGGCTCCCAGCCCTCCACTCTAACCACTGGCACTGGCTTTCTCCCCAGATGGCCCCCGGGATGTACAGCTGTCCGTGACCCCGCAGGGGCAGATTGTGGAGGGGATGCAGGTGATACTGCGGTGCTGGGCCGACGCCCGCCCACCCATCCTGGGCTACGACTGGTACCGGGATGGCCAACTGCAGGAGCGCCAGAGCCAGGCCGTGCTGATCATCCTGGCTGTGAAGGTCAGGGCGTCCGGTCACTACCACTGTCGGGCCAGAAACCAGATCGCCTACGGGGACTCCTCGTCCATCCCCCTCATCGTCTACTGTAAGGGCCTTGTGTGCCGGTGCCCCTCAATCCCAACCCGCAGCCCCCACTAGCCCAGCCCTGGGATCGCCCCACCCCCAGCTCTGCTGGTGCCCCTCAATCCTGAGCAGCTCTAACCATTGGCCCCCACTCCTGTGCCCCCCACTCCTTGCTCTGTGTTGTTTTGCAGCCAGCTCGATGACTATAGCCAAGAACTCAGCTCTAGGGGTCGGCGTGGTGGTAATGTTTATCGTCCTGCTGGTGGTGCTGGTCTTGGCCCTCAGGCGATGGTAAGCAGAAACCTCTCCTCACCCCCAACCTGGCCATCCCCAATCCCCAGGGATCAGCACCCATGGAGCCCGGGTAGCCTGACCTCTGTGACAGGCCCAGGCAGCCAGGGAACTCCCCCACAACCCGCCCTAACCACTAGACCCCACTTCCCTCCCAGAGCCAGAGGTAGAACCCAGGAGTCCTGGATCTTTACCTTGCTCCACATTGTCGTTGCAGGAGGAAGCGGCGTCTTCCCGAAATGGTTGTGGAGCCCTTGGGCAGGCAAAGGAGATCGTTCTTTGTGAGATATTTTTGATAGGGGGTGCTGTGCCGCAGGGGGCGGGGCGGGGGCTCTCCCCTGGCAGGCAGGGCTGGTCCCGGTGCCCCAGGGCGGTGCTAGGGGGCTCTGTGCTGCAGGGCATTGCCCAATAGCAGATCAGAGTTGAATTTCTAGTCCTGAGCCCTTGGGGTCATTAAAGATTCCTGAGACCATTCCCTAAACTTCAGGACATCAAACCCAGTGCGTGGGAGAAACCCCATGTGGGAAATTCTGTTCTGCCTCCACCAATCCCTCTCAGAAGTTACAAGAAAAAAGAGGATTTTTCTTCACTTCCCATCCTAAACTTGTGGCATCACCATGCGGCTTAGCTGCCCTGCCCCAGAGGTGGCTGCATCTCAGGGCTGGCCAAGCCATCCCCATGTGGTGTTATGTGCAGCTGTTCCCCAGATGCCCTACCCCAGAGGTGGCTGCATCTCAGTTCTGGGCGAGCCATCCCCGTACACTCAATGAATGTTTTGTCTCTCTCAGCCTAGAAGACGGGAACCTTTGAAAACCCAGCGGCCCGCCAGCTCAGTGGGGTGCCTGAATGGAATTTCCATAGATGCCATCAATTATGCTACACTCCAGTTCCCACCCAGCCACCCCCAGGGGCCGACCGCCCCTGCCAGGTACAAAGGAAAGGAACTGGGGGAGTGGAAATGAGTTCCCCTGCCCCCAGTATGAAGCCCTGGCTCCTCCCAGAGACGAGGAGAGAACCCAGGCGTCCTGGCTCCTCCCAGAGCTGGGGAGAGAACCCAGAAGTCCTGGCTCCTCCCAGAGCCAGGGAGGGAACCCAGGAGTCCTGGCTGCTTCTCATCAGAGCTGTGGATTTCCTCCCAGGGTGCCAGGAAACTCGAGACAGCGAGTGAAGCCAGGGGGCCCAGATGAAACTGTTATTTACAGTGTGGTGAAGAAACCCAACCTGCTGCCCAAGGTACCAACCTGGGGTCACCCTGGGTCCCACAGAGCCCTGTCACTTCAGAGCCTGTGTCCCCCAGGCCCTTTAATTGTGATGCTTAGGCAATGCCCGTCTGTCTCTGAGTGAGGGGCACTGGCAGGGCTAGCAGGGGCTGTGGGTCATGAGTGAGGGGCACCGGCAAGGTGAGGGAGGAGTCCAGGGCTGGGATCGCAGGGACTGTGGGTTGGGAGTGAGGGGCACCGGCAGGGCTGGGGAGGAGCCCAGGGCTGGGATCGCAGGGGTTATGGGACTGTATCGTACTAGATGTACAAGTTGGAGGACTGGGCCAGAAGAAATCTGATGAGGTTCAACGGGGACAAGTGCAGAGTCCTGCACTTAGGACGGAAGAATCCCATGCACCGCTACAGACTAGGGACCGAATGGCTAAGCAGCAGTTCTGCAGAAAAGGACCTAGGGGTTACAGTGGACGAGAAGCTGGCTAGGAGTCAGCAGTGTGCCCTTGTTGCCAAGAAGGCTAACAGCATCTTGGGCTGCATTAGTAGGGGCATTGCCAGCAGATCGAGGGACGTAATCGTTCTCCTCTATTCGACATTGGTGAGGCCTCATCTGGAGTACTGTGTCCAGTTTTAGGCCCCACACTACAAGAAGGATGTGGAAAAATTGGAGAGAGTCCAGCGGAGCGCAATGAAAATGATTAGGGGACTGGAACACATGAGTTATGAGTTACACATGAGGAGAGGCTGAGGGAGCTGGGATTGTTTAGTCTACGGAAGAGAAGAATGAGGGGGGATTTGATAGCTGCTTTCAACTACCTGAGAGGTGGTTCCAAAGAGGATGGCTCTAGACTATTCTCAGTGGTGGAAGACGACAGAACGAGGAGTAATGGTCTCAAGTTGCAGTGGGGGAGGTCGAGGTTGGATATTAGGAAACACTATTTCACTAGGAGGGTGGTGAAACACTGGAATGCGTTGCCTAGGGAGGTGGTAGAATCTCCTTCCTTCGAGGTTTTTAAGGTCAGGCTTGACAAAGCCCTGGCTGGGATGATTTAGTTGGGGTTGGTCCTGCTTTGAGCAGGGGGTGGGACTAGATGACCTCCTGAGGTCCCTTCCAACCCTGATCTTCTCTGAGTCTACGGTTCTATGGTGCGGCTAAGACACTGAGGCATAGCAGGCTGGGCAGGTTGTTTTTCTGCCTCTAGTTCCCCTTTCCATGCCTCTCACATGACTTAAAATAAACTTTTGCTCTTGAAATAAGATCAAGACAATTGTCGAGATAAGATAAAAATACACTGCCCTTCCCCCGAGCGGCTAGAATCTAAACCAACCATGAACACCCCGGGGAGCCTGCAATTGTACCTATTATGCCTTGATGCATCTTCATTTAACATCAGACTTCCTCTGGCAGGGCATGGGGTGGAGGGGGTGGGGGTGAAGGGCAGGGCTGGGCTAGCAGGGGGCTGTGGGTCGGGAGTGAGGGGCACTGGCTGAGCTGGGTGTGGGGAGAGCCCGGGGCCGGGCTAGCAGGGGGCTGCGGGCTGGGAGCTGGGGGTCCCTGCAGGCGGTGCTGGGGGCTGGCATCTGTAGCTGTCCCTGTCTGACCCCCGCCTGCCTCCCCAGGGCGAAGCGAAGGGCGACTATGAGAATGTGGGGACCCGGCCGGAGGAGGAGGAGGAGCTGAACTACTGCACCCTGGTGCTGCCGCGCCCCCGGGCCCCACACGGCCACTGGGAGTCCGAGTCGGACTCAGAGTCAGAGGAGAGTGTCCAATACGCGGCCCTGAAGCACTGAGCCTTCCCCGGATGGGGCCAGCTCCCCACTGGCCATGGAGTCCGGCCGTGGACCCACGGAGCCCGGCCACAGACCCATGGAGCCCAGCTACGGACCCATAGAGCCCGGCCACGGACCCACAGAGCCTGGCCACTGACCCATGGAGCCCAGCCATGGACCCATGGACCCACAGAGCCTGGCCACGGACTCACGGAGCTCGGCCACGGACTCACGGAGCCTGGCCACTGACCCATGGAGCCCAGCCATGGACCCATGGACCCACGGAGCCTGGCCACAGACCCACAGAGCCCAGCCACGGACTCACGGAGCCTGGCCATGGACCCATGGAGCCCAGCCATGGACCCACGAAGCCGGGCTATGGACCCACAGGGCTGCACCAGGGACTCATGGAACCCAGCCACGGACCCACCGGATGGAGCCTGGCCCCAGCCACTCTGGACTCTCAGCGCCAGTTGAGCTCTGGACACTGGGCCCCATCTAGAGACCCAGACCCTGGGCGAGGGGGTGGAGTCAGTGGCTCTAGCGCTGGATCCGGACAGGGGAGCAGAGCGGGGGTGGGGCGGGCAGGGTCTGTGCACCTAGAGATAAACACACGAGATGTGATGCGGGGCCAAGGGATGGGGTGTGCCAGCCAGCAGGGGGCAGCAGGGACACACACACACACACACACACACACAGAGCAAGGGATGGGGTGTGCCAGCCAGCAGGGGGCAGCAGGGACACACACACGCACACAGAGCAAGGGATGGGGTGTGCCAGCCAGCAGGGGGCAGCAGGGACACACACACACACACACACACACACACACACACAGAGCAAGGGATGGGGTGTGCCAGCCAGCAGGGGGCAGCAGGGACACACACACACACACACACACACAGAGCAAGGGATGGGGTGTGCCAGCCAGCAGGGGGCAGCAGGGACACACACACACACTTCCCCTACTGGCTGTAGGACACACCTGTCTGCAGCAGGGGGCGCTGTCCCTGTTTACCCCACCCCCACCCCCAGCTATCCCCATGACTCTCCAGGTGCTGCCCCCTGAGGTTTAGCTCCCCCAGCACAGCGACCCCCCCGAGGCCCACAGGCTGTGGGTGATTTCCCTACCAGCTGAGCCTGGTTTGACCAAGTCCCACTCCCCTACCCCCCCCCACAGGTGATAGGGGACCCCCGGGGCAGGGGACCCCACAACTATCGCTCAAGAGCCAGATCAACCTGCTGTAGCTTTTCTAGTGCGCTATAGGATGGAGCGGGGGGCTGGGAGCCAGGACTCCTGGGTTCCAGCCCCAGCTCTGGGAGGGGAGTGGGATCTAATGGGGGGAGGAGTTGCAATGCTCACTGAAATGTTTATAGTTTAACAGCCTCGCAGCGAGGCTGCGCGGGGACGGCTCATCCGGTGCTGGGATGCCAGCTCTGGGGTGGGGCAGCCAGGGGACAGCCGCATGCAGTCACTCAGAGCTTTCCTTTCTGATTAGCGAGTGCCTTCCCCCGCCCGCAGCTGGGCTAGCATGCGCCTGGCACGAGGAATCAGGGATGTAATTGGCATCTCTTCCCGCCGTAAGCTCAGCAATAAAAGTACTTTACAGGCTATTAACTGCAGCAGGAACTGGTCAAATAGCTTGTTCTGTAAACAGCTCTCTGCTCAAAAGCACCAGAGCGTTCGGCCCCCACTGCCCTGGGCACAGCTGCCACTGCAGGAAAAGAAATAAATTGATCCATGAGCATTGGCCAGGAGTTGTATTTACCTGGGAGAGCTGCGTGTCCTGTACGAGGGGAGGCAAGGCCTCAGCGTGGCACAGGGGGCGCTGGGCTGCAGAGTGTGTGTGTGTGTGTGGGGGGGGGTCTTCCCTGGCAGTCAGGGCTGGCCCCAGGGCCCCAGGGTGGCGCTAGGGGGCGCTGTGCTGCAGGGAGGGGGCAGTGTCTCTCCCCTGGCAGTCAGGGCTGACCCTGATGCCCCAGCACAATGCCAGCTTGCTGGGTTTAAAGCAGGGGAGGCTGGGAATCCGGACTCTTGGGTTCTCCTCCATTCTGTCCTTCCCTAACCTGTGCCTCAGTTTCCTGCTATGGTGTGGGCGTAAGTGACTTAATGCCTGTAAGGGGTGGGGGCAGGGGGAAATGCCTTGATGGACTCTGAGATGCAGATGGGGCAGTTGGGGAACAGCTGCACACCACACTGCATGGGGAGGCCGAGCTTGCTGCTGAGATGCAGCCACTTCTGGGGCAGGGCAGCTGGGGAACATCCACACATAACACCACATGTGGACACCTTGAGCGACTCCAAGATGCAGCCACCACTGGGGCAGGGCAGCTGGGGAACAGCTGCACAGCACACTGCATGGGGAGGCCTAGCCTGGCGCTGAGATGCAGCCACTTCTGGGGCAAGGCAGCTGGGGAACAGCTGCACATAACACCACATGGGGTCAGCTCGCCGGGGCTGAGATGCAGTCGGCTCTGTCATGAGATCCTGCTGGGGGTTTCCTGCAGCAATACTTCAGAGGGCGTGAATTGCTCTAGTGAGTTGACGCTGCATTCCTGTGAGTCTCTAAAACCACGTTATCTCTCCCAGTGGAAATTGTACAGAGTCAGGGAACCAAGCAGAGCGATATGGATCTGGGGGGAGTTCACTCGTTGAGCTTTGTATCAGCCATTGAAATAACAGGCCCTGACAACTGATGGGCTGACAGCAGGGGGGGCTGGGAGCCAGGACTCCTGGGTTCTAGCCTTGGCTCCGGCGCTACGTTGGCAGATGGGTGGAAAGCGCCGGTAGCACACATGAATGCCGCGCTATGCTGCTTTTCACTAACAAGGGGTGGATCCAGCTGCTTTTAAAGGAATGCGTCTCGCTCTGGGGCAGCGTAGCTGGGGAAGAGCCGCACGGCGATGGCTCACCCAGCACCGAGATGCAGCCACCTCTGGTGCGGGGCAGCCAGGAAACCGCCACACAGGGATCGATGAGCGGCAGCTGCCTCTGAAGTGGGGGAAATCTCTACCCAGGAAGAGGGGGCGAGTCCCAGTTATCGGGGCCAGTGGCGGGGCTGGGTCTCTGGCCTATTTCGGGGTCCCAGCTCTGGGTCCACACAGAGGGACCCACTCCCCACGGGGGATAATCCAATCGCGCCCCCTGCCTCGGCGGCTGTTCTTTCCCTCTCCGTCCTGCCAGCTGGGGGGGCACGAGGCAGAAGGACCCGGGAAGCAGGGCGGCCCCCTGGGTTTTTATGGCTTTATGACCCAGCCACGTAGCTGGGGGATCAAGCTACCCTGGCTGAGCAATTCCTTCTGGGCAATTTCATCCCACCTGGGAGCAGGCAGATCCACGCCCCCCGTGACCGCCGGCACAGCTGCTTGCCATGTCCCCGGGGCCAGGCCAGGCGGGAGTGCAGGTGTGGGGAGCTGAGCCAGAGAGGTAGGAGCTAGGGGATGTGGCCATGGGGCAGGGGTGGGGGGAGGATCTAGGAGACACGGCTGTGGGGCAGGAATCTGGGGGGTGGATCTAGGGGATGTGGCCATGGGGCAGGGATGGGTGTGAATTGAGGGGACACGGCCGTGGGGCAGAAATCTGGGGGTGGATCTAGGAGACGTGGCTGTGGGGCAGGGATGAGGAGGTGGATCTAAGGGACGTGGGGCAGAAATCTGGGGGCAGATTTAGGGGACATGGCTGAGGGGTGGGGACATGGAGGTGGATCTAGGGGAGGCACTCGTAGGACAGGGATGGGGGGAGTGGATTTAGGAGATGTGGCGATGGGGCAGAGTTGGAGGGTGGATCTAGGGGACATGGCCATGGGGCAGTGATAGGGGTGGATTGAGGGGACCCGGCCATGGGGCAGGAATCTGAGGGTGGATCTAGGAGACACAGCAGTGGGGCAGGGATGGAGGGTGGATCTAGAGGGCGCAGCCGTGGGGCAGGGTTGGAGGGTGGATCCAGGGGCAGGGACTGGAAGTAGATCCAGGAGGCAGGGATGGGGGGTGGAGCTATGGGTTGCAGCAATGGGGAAGGGATGCGGGGAGGATCCAGGGGAGGTGGTTGTGGGGCAGGGATCTGGGGGTGGATCTAGGGGACATGGCCATGGGGCAGGGATGGGGGGTGGATCTAGGGGACGCGGCCATGGGGCAGGGATCGGGGGGTGGATCTATGGGACGCGGCCGTGGGGCAGGGATCTGGAGGTTGATCCAGGGGGTGCAGCCATGGGGCAGGGATCTGGGGGTGGATCGAGGGGATGTGGTCATGAGACAGGGTTGGGGGGTGGATCCAGGGGATGCGTCCGTGGGGCAAGGATGGGGGGTGGATCTAGGGGACATGACGATGGGGCAAGGATCTGGGGGTGGATCGAGGGGACGCGGCGGAGGGGGCTCATCCCTGGTATCATTCCAGCCCCAGCTGAGATGCCGCCACCCTCCACCCCCCGCTGAGCCGGCACCATGGACCCGCTGGACACCCTGGCCCTGGCTGTCTACTTCGTCACCATCCTGCTGGGCTTGCCCGCCAACACCTTGGCGCTGTGCATCTTCTACCGCCGCGCCCGCGCCCACCTCACCCCAAACCTCATCTACATGATCAACCTCTGCCTCTCGGACCTGGCCTTCGTTCTCATCCTGCCGCTGAAGATCCTGGAGGTGGTTCCCCCAGGCTGGTCCCCGCCAAATTTCCTCTGCTCCCTCTACAGCCTGGCCCACTTCGGCACGCTCTACGCCAGCACCTGCTTCCTGACGGCGGTCAGCGCCGGGCGCTATCTGGGAACCGCCTTCCCCATCCGCTACCAGCTCTACAAGAAGCCCCTTTACTCCTGCCTGGTCTGCGTGGCCATCTGGACCCTGGTGGGCTTTCACGGCGTCCTGCTGCTCATCCTGGAGACTTCGCTGGGTGCCAACACCACCCTCTTTACGGGCAACGGCTCCGCCTGCTACCAGGAGTTCAGCCCGGAGCAGCTGGCCCTGCTGGCTCCTGTCCGCTTGGAGCTCTCCGTGGCCCTGTTTTTCCTGCCCTTGGCGATCACGGTCTTCTGTTACGCCAGCTGCATCCACGTCCTCGTCAAGTCCCGTCTCCACGAGCAGAAGAAGCGCCGGGCGGTGCGGCTGGCCATGGCCACTCTTTCCATCTTCGTGCTCTGCTTCGGGCCCTACAACCTGTCCCACGTGGTGGGCTACGCCCGCAGCGAAGACGTCTGGTGGCGCAGGGTGGCGCTGCTGCCCGGTGCCTGCAACGCCTTCCTGAACCCGCTCATCTTCTACTTCCTCTCCTCGGCCAAGGACTACGGCCTGGCCTGGGTCTGGCGCTCGGTGAGGCAGCGTTGCAGCTCCTTCCGGCAGAAGATGACCATGGGTCACAGGGAGTCAGGCAAGAGGCAGCCTCAGAAGGGGGCTGCATTGCAGGGGAGTACAGGCCCCGGGGTGGGGAGCTCCAAATGACCACGGGACAAGGAGACACCAAACTCTGTTGGGACAGGAGTTGTGGAGATTAGCAATCTTGGATGGGCTGGGGGCCTGGCTGCTCATGAGCCTTTAAAAATTCCCCATGGGGCTGGGAGCCTCCAATCTTGGATAGGATGCAGGACCAAGGACCAGGAAATTCATGACCATTACAGACTCCCCATGGCACCCGGAACCTCCGATCTTGGATAGGACATAAGACCAAGGACTGGGAAATTCATGGCCATTACAGATTCCCCATGGGACTAGTAGTCTCTGACCTTGGATGGCACGTGAGCCCAAGAACCTGGCTTATCCATGGGTCAGTACATATCCCCCTTAGGACAAGGAGGTGTCTGGTTTTGACGGGACTAGGGGTTGAGGTAGCCATTTTCCACTGAGACATGAATGCATGGTCATGACCTTGACCACTGGTGGTCTTGAAAGACCCCTTTGGATGGGGACATCCCGGACTGGGGTGGGAGAGGGGGTGGGAAGATGCCAGGCGGGGAGTGACGGCAGGGCCCAGATTTCTCGTGGTCATTACGTATCCCCATGGGACGGATTCTGCCATGGGAAAATTGGATATAGAGGATGATCCAGACCCCTTCACCCCACTAGGGCGAAATAGACTGTTCGGCTAACTCCGCTACTGGGGGAATAGACTAAACTCCGTCCTGTGGGTCTGCATTGGGTGAGCCATTTTATGAGGTGTCACTGTGCAGTTATTCCCCAGCTGCCCTGCCCCAGAGGTGGCTGCATTTTGGCACTGAGGCCATGATTCCTACCCTTGGGGGATGGAAGGTGCTAGAGAAATGTCCGAGGTAACTGGGAGGTCTTTGTAACTTGGATGCAGAAATATTCCAAACCACAATTCAATGGGAATCCTAAATCTCCTGTCAATGAAATCCCAACTCCTGCAAGAATGTCCCAGGACCGATGAATGAGTTAGTAGGAACAGAGGCAATGGGGCCAGACCCTCTAGCTGGGGCCAATGGGGATCATCCCGGGGTCTCACCACTAAACCTTACCGCTGACTCTTTTGCTCAGTAGTTGTAAATTGCATTCCACTAACGGATCCGTGTTGATGTAATAAATAAAGTTTTCCCAGCTCTAGTGGGGTCGTTATTATTAATATTATTATTGTAGGTTTCAGAGTAGCAGCCGTGTTAGTCTGTATCCGCCAAAAGAAAAGGAGGACTTGTGGCACCCTAGAGACTAACCAATTTATTTGAGCATAAGCTTTCGTGAGCTACAGCTCACTTCATCGGATGCATTCAGTGGAAAATACAGTCTGGAGATTTATCTACACAGAGAACATGAA